AAGGAAGGAAGGAAGGAAGGAAGGAAGGAAGGAAGGAAGGAAGGAAGGAAGGAAGAAGAAAGGAAGGAAAAGGAAAGAAAGGAAGAGAAAGAAAGACCAACTTTGTAAACAGAAATGGAGGCGGTTCAGGGGTTGGAGAGCAAGTAGCTCCCTGCAATCTCCTGAAACACCACCAGGGGTCGCCTGGACTTTTACCTAAGGGGTTCAGTGTGATTAATGTGGTGGTCAATGTGACCTTTGTGCAGCTTTGCTGGCCGAAGTGAACACTGTAAGCATTCTGCAGAGCTGACTCTGAAAGCTTTGATACTATAATAAGCCAGTAAGTTAATATTTATGGAGAATTCACAGCAAAAAAAAAGTGAAAGCTGTAACTACGTGTGTTGGTAGGGCAGCCAGGGAGACGAGAGCAGACTGAATGGCCCAGGTATCGGAGACAGTGCTTGAGGACTGGGAACCTGAAAATGTAGGACCAGCCTCCTCTGAGCCTCTCTGCTTCATACTTTGTCTCTTTCGACCCTCCTTAATAAATGTCCCTTTTGTCACCTCTCACCAAAAACCTTCCAAGTTTTCTAACCACACAGCTCAGATTACTCCCTGGAGAACTGAGGAGAGAAGAGGACAGAAGAATCGCAAAAGCAAGTGTGCTAATTATTTGTTTGAAAAGGACTAAGCTTCCCATCAGAAACAGTGGCGGGATTAAATAAATAAATTAAACTAACATAAATAAATTAGATAAAACAACCAGTACCCCTGCTATTATTGGGACTAGGGTTCAGTTGGAGGAATTGAGAATGTTATAGAAACTAAAGCAGTTTCCGGTGTGTCTACGCAGACACACATATGAATAAATTGATATTATAAATAATCACTGTAGTTGATTTGAACAAATTGTGTTAATATTATACTTTAATACTGATGGATAATTTTTCTTTGCAAATCAAATTTAAACTCCGAGATACATTTTTCTTATAACACAGCAAAACGTAATACTCCCCACAGTAGCACAGAGTGTGTTTTGATTTTCTTTGCAAAAAGCATGCAATTTTATTTGTAAATTCAGTTCATCCAATGAGTCATTTCACATGTAATGAATTTAGGCATGGCTTTCCTGCTCTGTATAATGTAAAAGCAGATGGAAGAAAATAACTTGTAGTTGTTAGACCTAGTATCTGCCTGGAACCCCACGGCTGTTTCAAAGGTCTTGCTGCTAGAGTCATTCTTGGGAACAGGAAGGGGTGTGGGGAGAAGGAAAGAAATTAGGTAACTTCAACCAAGAAGCAGGGCCAGGTCCATACAGCGGAGTGAATAGCTTTACAGATTCAACCTCTATCACACAAATAAACATACGGTCAAAAATTAGTAAAACAAACAACATGCTCTTTAATGGACTTTTACTCCCGGCCATGAGGAGTAACAGACACCAACTGACTGTGATAAATGCCAACACTCATTAACAAAGTTGTACAGAATGTCTGGGTTAGGAGAGTGGAAAACAGGCAGGAAAAAACTATAACCCCAAAGGAAATGAACACAGGTCATATTTGAACACTGTGTTCATCCCAGCGTTCTGCCTGTGAGCACGCCCTGGGTCACAATGCCAAAAAGGAGAATTTCCGAGCCATAAAATGACAATCTCAATGAATTAATGAGACAAGAGTCAGAATTAAGGGATTCTGAAGTTCTGCAAGTTTCAAAGCAGAGTGCTACAGAGGGATAGATCACAGACAGAGAGAGCTCTTTAAGTCCGTAGGGTAACTAAATACGCACTTGACTAATGAGTCAAATAGATTTAAGATAAAATGGCACAAGGTTAGGCAAAGAGTAACTGGGAACTATTTAAAAAAAAAACAGAAACAAAACAAAACTATGATTCTGAGAGCTCACACGGCTGGTACACATTCAAGTTCCAAATAGCCAGAGTGGAGAGTCTTTGCTGATGACACAGGCATTCAGTGATATCTCAGAGATCCATCTTGGAGACTGGAGAGTGGATCCGGCCTTAATAGTAAAGATCAGTGGCCCTAAACCTTTATTCTAGAGTCACACTGACAGGGATATTAAAGAATTAGGGACAGTATAGTGATCATCAACACAAAATACATACATACAGTAAAAAAAAATGACTAAGCACATGAACAAGTATGTAAAGATGAACCCTAATCTAAAGACAAATTGGAGAAAGTCCAAGATCTGGAAATTGCCGAGAGACACATTACAAAATTACCACATAAAAGATATTAAAACATAAAAGATCAATATTATTAATAAAACAGGTGAAAACATCTATACTAAAAACTATAAGAAAAACCACACTAAAAACTACTGAGAAGAAGGAGAAAATGTTTTAATGAGTGATGCATACTATGTTCATGGAGTAGAATGACTATGGTTAACATGTCAGTTCTTTCTAGTTGG